GCATTATTCTTGCAAGCATGATGATAAAGTAGGGCTTATACATATGGAACAGTGTAAGAACAAAATAGTTACTAACCTATCTGATTGAAGAACTACGTTACTAGAGGAACCAAAGCGTTGTGGTGTCTATCAAGTGAGTTCTGGCTTGGGACTCAATATGAGGAGACCAAGGGCTCGATTCACAAAGACACTTAGGTGTCACAACTCTGAGCGTCCCTACACCTCACTTTTAGGCTTGTAGAAAAATCACTGGGATTCACAAAGGCTGAACTCGGTTCCTAGGCAATGAATGGGGAGAGATGGGAGCCTGCAAATGGGATCCACAAAAGCCAGCACACGAGGTGGGAAGATACCAAGCAAAGGGGTGTGTGCTAAATCCTGCCCCTTTCTCAGAGCTACTGTCTAAGTCCAGGCTGCAGGGAGGTGCCCATCTCTGTTTGGGATCCTTATCTGCAAACCCGCTCTAGGTGTTAGGCATCAAAGCTGTTTTAGCAAGTAGCCCAGGGGGCAAGAGAACAATGATGACACCTTCCCTTCTAGCTCTTAGCCCAGTGGTCAGGGTACTCACCTGAGATGTGGGAGACATCTGGCTCAATTCCCCTCTTCACCTGAGGGGGAGAAGGGAGTTGAACAGGGCTCTGCCACCTCCCAGGTGAGGACACTAGTCACTGGGCTACAGGATATTCTGACATGGGGTTCCCTCATTCTGTCTTGCTGAAGCTGCTCCACTGTGGGTAAATAATTTAAAAAGTCATTGGAACCAGGGGACTGGCCCCTGGGTCTCCCACGGGAGTGTGCTAATCACCAGGCTACAGTGCCAGCCTCACGCTCACTTGCTTGCTCTCTGGCTCATTGACTTTTTCAGTTAGTCACAGTGGAACAGCTTTGGCTGAAGAGACTGAGAGAGCCCCCCAGATCAGAAAATGCCATAGCCCAGTGGTTAGTGCAGTCATGTGAGAGGTGAGAGATCCTGGTTCAGATCCCTTCCTCTCCCTCCCGGCAAAGTGGAATGGAGACTTGAGCAAGGGATCTCCTACATTCCAGGTGAGTGCCCTAATAACTCCTGGCCTAAAAGTTATAAGGGAGGTCCCTCTCCCCACCTCGCCTGGCCATTTTGTGTCAGCTTGTTTAGAGGGGCCCAATTCAGTAGGTGAGCTCTCAGCATGCTTACCAGATCAGGCTCTCTAAGTGAGTTCAGCAGAGGAATGCCTATCTGCCCCCCATTCGTGCCTGGGGTGGCTAGGTGGGTAAGTCCTTTTGTCAATCTAGCCCCTGGTTTCTATTCCTATCTGTGACACTTTGGGCAAGTCACTTAAGCTCTTTTTTACTCAGATTCCCTATCTTGGAAAATAAGGAGCACTATACTCACCCACTTTTAGAAAATGCTTTGAGATCTATGGATAAAAAGTGCCACTGTTTAAGTACAAAACGTTATTTTATTATTATTGGCTTCGATCTGTATTGTGAACTACAATCAATTTTCTAGAGCGGGTTGTTAGTTTTAACTTTGTTTATGTATTAAATGAAGATCCCTTAAAAAGACTATAAAAGTGTATCAGAGGCTCCAGGAGTTCAGTGTACAGGAACATTTAACTCAGCTTTTGGAGCGTTGACATATTTCATAGCAGGCGTGATAATACATTACTTTCTATAAACTAAAGAGATTACTGATTATACACAGTAACAGTGTCTCAATAGACAACTGCTTTAATTAACCTACTGCAACAGGGCAATATAGTCTTCTGGAAACAGATATAGTAACTCTCCATTCAAATGAGTGTTCCTGATTCTTTCACCTTTGCCTTATATCCCCTCAGTAAGCATCAGAGGGAACCCAGATCTTGATCTGCACTAGGGGGAGGACAGGCTAGAGCAGTGGTTCCCAAACTTGTTCCGCTGCTTGTGCGGGGAAAGCCCCTGGCGGGCCGGGCCGGTTTGTTTATCTGCCGCGGCCACAGGTTTGGCCGATCGCTGCTCCCAGTGGCCGCGGTTCGCTGCTCCAGGCCAATGGGGCTGCGGGAAACGGCGCAGGCTGAGGGACGTACTGACAAACAAACCGGCCGGCCCGCCAGGGGCTTTCCCTGCACAAGCGGCGGAACAAGTTTGGGAACCACTGGGCTAGAGCTATGGGTCAATGACTGAACTGAAAAAACCCAGCTGAAGTACAAGTTACGCCACAAGGAGACAGAACAGACCTGGCGGATGGGAGCCTGATCAGACTGGGCCAGAACACACAGCGGGGACAGCCAGACCAGACACACAGAAGGGGTTTGTAACAGACTAGTCCCAGGTGTGAATGGGAACCATGGCTTACAGGAAAACTAAGGGCTAACGCAATGCAGCTTTATAATGATGGAAGTGACAGCATTTTCCACCTCCAACACATGCTTTTGAGTCTATGGTTAGACATTCAACAAATAGCTGACCTTCAGGTGACTCTAAATCTGCCTGTTTAATCTTTTAGGCCCAGATTCTGGGCTTCCCTGTGGGCCAGTTTTCCAGCATATAGGGACCACAAATCCTGCTGATCTACCCCTAGGGGATACACCGGGCATAGGGAGGATTCTCCTGTGGCATAGGGGCAGTGGAAAAACCCTGTATTGCTCCCCCACTTGCAGTTCCCGGCATGGAGTCATGCTGGGACATACCCAGGAGAGAGAAGGAGGACAAAGTGCATTTCCAAGATGCATTCATGCACCTGCCCTTATATTTATTTTGGTTTGGTTTAGTATGATCTTTAAATATAAATAAGTCTGTAACCGGTGTAAATTTAAAGGATGTTTGCTGGTGGATACAGTTACTGAAAAGTGCATGCGTATAGCACTTAAGGTCATCTCTCACTCTCTTACAGGTGGCATCACTCATCTCCTGCCTTTGACATGCAATAATCTGGGCTATAAATAGTTTAAAAGCTCCCTGTGAATAGGAAAAAAATCTGATCTTTTATTATGCCATATAGAAATTGTTAATTTCAAAATAGTGCCCATATTTGTGACTCGCCGGATAGTGTCCATGGATGGCGAATGATTACAGGATTAGAAAACATGGCTTGTAGTGATAGTCTCAAGAAGCTCAATCTATTTAGCTTAACAAAGAGAAGGTTAAGGGGTGACTTGATTACAATTATAAGTACCTACAAGGGGAACAAATATTTAACAGACTCTTCAATCTAGCTGAGAAAGGTATAAGATGACCCAATGGGTGGAATCTGAACCTAAACAAATTCAAACTTGAAATAAGGGATACATTTTTAACAAAGAGAGTAATTAATGATTGGAACAATTTACCAAGGGTTGTGGTGGATTCTCCATCACTGACAATTTTTAAATCAAGACTGGATGTTTTTCTCTGGGAACTATTTTGGGGAAGTACAATGGCCTGTACTATTTAGAGGTCAGACTAGATGATCACAATGGTCCTTCTGGCCTTAGAATCTCAGCATAGTACAGGAGCACAACATGTATGCTCTCAAAAGACAGAAGAGAGTGAAGGGAACACTGAGATTTCTTTATAGCTTTAGCATAAGCCCAAATGTTAGCATTGTATAATCACGTTACATGACATAAATGGAACGTATACACAAGTTTCTGAGCTAAACCTCCCAGGAGGTGCAGGAAACAAAGCACAGCCCAGAAGGAAGGGGAGGCAAAGGAGGTTTTAAGGCCAACGTTGCATGCCCCAAATTCTGTTCGCTCTGGAGATTAGTGCAGCCCCCAGCATAGTTAGAACAGCCATAGGTGTTGCTCTAATTTATGGACCTGTAGCCCCTACGGGCTGCTCTGCAGTCCAGAATAGCTACTTTATGCTGTGGCCCTTCCCCTGCCATCTCTCCCACCATCAGCACACCCTGTACTGGAGGCTCTGAGGAAGTTTGGGCCAGATTTGTGAAGATATTTAGCCACCTAAAGATGCAGATAGGTGCCTAGTGGGATTTTCCAAAGCAGCTAGGCACCACACTCCCAATGGTTAGGCACCTAGGTGCTTTGGAATACCCTACTTGGCATCTACATGCATCGTTAGCTGGCTAAATACTTTTAAAAATCTGGAAATCTGGTCCATATACACTGCCAGCGCAGCATATAGGGGCTAGAATCTGTTATACCTGAGGGTATAAAAATTTCAGGACCCTATGAACAATGAAGAACACAATAAGAAAAGGAATACTTGTGACACCTTAGAGACTAACAAATTTATTGGTGCCACAAGTACTTTTTCTTTTTGCATTTACAGACTAACACGGCTGCTATCTGAAGAATACAATGTGCATTTATAATGCTTATAGACTCAGATAATATAAAAGTGTTTTACAGAGGAATAATTGTCAAGCCTATATCATATGCTAACAAATCAACAGATGCTATGTAAAACACCAAGTGTAATCTTCCGAGCCATAACGCACAAAACAAGCTAATCACCAACAGCAGAGTTTGCATCACATAAGAATCAAAGCTTGATTTGAAACAACGCTTGAGAAATAAAGGTTGCAACGCATGGTTTGTCAATTTACAAGGTAAATTAACTATTTGACTTTTGGTCAAGCATCCTGCAGTTATTTAAACAGCTCTGCTACCAACTAAATACAGAGCAATGCTGTGAAGAGCAGTCCGGTTACTTATTTTAATTGAGTTGCCATATGCAAAAATGCCAACCTTAGATGACATTCTAGAGCATATTGGGGAATTTGACTTGTTCCAGAAGCGAGCCTTCTTTGTCTTATGCCTGCTGTCTGCCTCCTTCACCCCTATTTATGTGGGTGTCGTCTTCCTGGGGTTCAGTCCAGAACACCGCTGTCTCAGTCCTGGAGTTGCTGAGTTGAGCAGCAGATGCGGCTGGAGTCTAGAAGAGGAGCTGAATTACACCGTTCCAGAGCAGGGAAGACATGGGGAGTCTTTCTCTAGTCAGTGCAGGAGATACAACGTGGACTGGAACACAACTGGCCTCAGCTGCACAAACCCCTTAGAAAACTTCACTGGTTACGGCAACAGGAGCAGTATTCCGCTCACCACTTGTCAAGATGGCTGGGTTTACGATTCTTCAGGATCATCCATCGTGACTAAGGTACGACTAATAAACAAGCAGCAACAGCCCATGGTTACCCAGCTATTTGCAAACTGAAAAAATCCCAGATAATAATTTTCTGAAGGAGGAAACACTTATGCCAGCTAATAGTCTCATCTCAGCGTCTGCATAGATGGAGTATAACTCCCAGTAACAATGGTAACACTAGACCTGGTTGAAGGGTACAAGCAGTGATCTGTGAATATATTTGTGGGGGTAAATGATAAGTACACTGTGCTATTATTTGCAGAGTCACATTACTAGTTTTTCAGGAGTAGTCAGAAGACTGGAAGTTTATTCATAAAATGTCCACAAATCCTGAAAGTTTCATTAATTTCCATACAAATGATTCTGCACATTTCATCATTTGCTATTCTCTTGTTTAAATGTTTCAGTCATCTGTGCACGGGTCAGCTTTACAGATAGCATGAAAAGTTAGCAGCATGTAAAGCAAATGCAAGTTCGTGAACTACTTTTCATGCTAAAATAGATGAAAACAAAAATCGGTGTCCAACTACATTTCAGAACAAAAATGGGTTTTTAATGTTGTTTTTAATAAACAGGGGGAAAGAGTGATATTTACCCCAATATTTACTCAGAAAACTGCAAAGCTAATTTTTTGCACCAATTTTCACCCATTTTTTCAACACTGATAAGTTCCAAGGACATTTTAAACAAAATAAAAGCTTTACACATGACCTAGCTGACTGATCTTGCACATGAATAATAAATGATGTCAAAGACACAGTGAAGACAAAATTGGAAATATTTTACATTGGAAAATATTTACATATAACAAATACAGTAATAGATAATAGGGATAAGTTAAAAAAGAGCTGCAAACAGAGAAAAAGCCTACATTTTTCACATAACTAATTTGCAATAGATAATTCAACTGGCTCTAGTTAACATAGATGCCTCCCCTGCTCCATTCTTCAAGATGAGAATACAACCTGTAAGTGATCATCTGTCTTGAGCAGTTTCCAAAGTGAGCAAGTTGTAAGGGGGAAGGCGCCATGAAGACCTTTTAAGGTGAATTCCCCTCACAATTCCTCAGTTTCCCCAGCTTGTAAGACGGAGGATAAATACTTTATCTCCTATGTAAAGCACTTTGAGATCTACTGATGAAAAATGCTACGTAAGAGCCTGATATTGTCACTATTAATGTAGACAAATATGTTGAAGAAATATGCTGAGAGTTGAATTTGTGCTGTCAACTCCAGAAAGCCAGACATCAAGTACTATAAAGAAGGAGACTAAGAATAGTCCACACACTATCATAATGCCAGTATACACAGTGAGATAAAGCTTGATCTGCATCGATGCTGCATTCCCTTTAGGCAATCTTCCCTTGAAAGAGGCAAAGATCCAGAGAAATAATTGGGAGCATGTTGGGAGGGTGTATGTCACAGGGCGAGAGGCTAAAGAGATTACAATGATTTAATTTGGAAGGGAGATGAGAAAAAGCATATGTGATGGATACTATAAAGCAGTGGGGAATGGCAAGAAGTCTTGGTGCATGCTTTATCCCTTCTCTTAAATGAGAATGTGAGAAAATACTGTTGAATTAAACACCAACACACATAAATAAAAGGGCGTGAGTTAAACATTGGGTAAAGTGGAATCTGTGGAACTCATGGCTGTAGGATGTTATTGAGGCAAAGAGCATAAGAATTTAAGAAAAGGTTACACATAGGCAAGAACAGTATCTGCTCTTACATTGGCTAGGATAAAATTATATGGACGAAGTGTTCTAAGGATGGGGAGCAGAAAATAAGGACATCCCCCACCTAATACTTGGTCCTTTTCCTGTTTTGCCATTGACTTCAATGAGAGTAAAACTGTGCCTGAAATACAGTATTAAACATTCAAGGTTTCCACTTTCCTTTGATGCGTCTGGCATTGGCCAAGGCTGGAGACAGCCCCTCAGCCTGGAGAGATCATTGATGAGAGACCAGCTTGAGCCTCAATTTAAAAGCTCGGTCTACAAACAACTATTTTTAGAGCATGAGCATGACCCCCGCTAGCCCAAGTCTGTTGACCCGGTCTGGGAGGCTGTGGGCTGTGTAGACATACCCTATGTTTCTGTTGCTCAGTGAGTCGCAGCAAAGTTACAGAGTACATGCTTGCTGTGAGTAAAAGTGAAGTAGACTCTGCCGCTGGGCTTTGTGCCTGTACTAATTAAGAGTTTGAGAGCAGGTTGCTCAGCTTCACTCTGGCAGGGCCCATTGTATCACACCTAAAGACTCTATTAAGCAACAAATATGAACCCACAGCCAGTAGCCCATAGATGCTCCCACAGACATTACTGTCTTCACAGCTGCCGGGTTAAAGCTCAGTTCAGGAGTTCAGAGTTTGAAAATATCTTTACCTGCTGCTGAAAACTGCATTAGGCAAGCCTCCTAGCGTCCAGCAGCAGTGCAAACCCCCATGGTGCTGCCTAGCCCTATAAGCCAATCTAAAACTAATGAAAGGCACCAGGGTGATACCACAGAACAGCCGGAAAATGTAATGTACTCCTAAATCAAAGCCATAAATGCTTAACTCCAAAGCAGAACTGATGGACACTTCCTCCATACAGAGTCACTACACATAGATGAGAATGAAGCCGAGTAACACCTCTGCAGCATCACACCGTTTCAGTTGCTAGATAATTTGCAGTGAGCAAACCACCAAGTCTACAGGTTTGCCAAGATAAACTGATAGAGATTCAGACATTTTTCCAAATTTATCCAAAATTACAGGCAGATTAATTTTCTTAAGATTCCCTCCTCTTTCCCCCTGCACCCTCACCCTGAGAAGTAATTATGCTATTCAGAGAAATAATAGAAATCATAGAAATTTAGGGCTGGAAGGGACCTTGAGAAGTCATCAAGTCCAGCCCACTGTGTTAAGGCAGGACCAAGTGAACCTAGACCACCCCTGACAGATGTTTGTCTAATCTGTTCTTAAAAACCTTCAACGATGGGAATTCCACAATCTCCTTTGGAAGCTTATTGTAGATCTTAACTACACTTATAGTTAGAAAGTTTTTCCTAATATCTAACCTAAATCTCCCTCGCTGCAGATTAAGTGCATTAACTTCCTGTCCTACCTTCAGTGGACACAGAACAATTGAGACAGTCTTCTTTATAACCGCCAGTAACAAATTTGAAGACTTATGTCCTTCCGCCTCAGTTTTCTTTTCTCAAGACTAAACATGACCAATTTTTTTAACCTTTTCCTCATAGGTCAGGTTTTCTAAACCTTTTATCATTTTTGTAGCTCTCCTTTGGACTCTCTCCAATTTATCCACATCTTTCCTAAAGTGTGACACCCAGAACTGGACACAGTACTCCAGCTGAGGCCTCACCAATGCCAAGTAGAGCAGGACAATTACCTCTGATGTCTAACATGAAACACTCCTCTTAATACACCCCCGAAACATATTAGCCTTTTTCACAACTGCATCACATTGTTGACTCATATTCAATTTGGGATCCACAGATCCTTTTCTGCAGTATTACCCCCTAGCCAGTTATTCCCTATTTTGTTGTTGTGCACTTGAGTTTTCCTTCTTAAGTGAAGTACACTGCATTTTCTTTATTGAATTTCATCTTTTTGATTTCTGACCAATTCTATAATTTGTCAAGGCTGTTTTGAATTCTAATCCTGTCCTCCAAATTACTTGCTACTTCTCCCAACTTGATGTCATCTGCAAATGTAATAAGTGCACTCTTCCATTATCTAGTCATTAATGAAAATATTGAATAGCACTGGATCCAGGACTGACCCCCCTATGCTGGACCCCACTAGATACACCTTCCCAGTTTGACAGCAAACCATTGACAACTACTCTTTAAATATGGTCTTTCAACCAGTTGTGCACTGACCTTACAATAATTCCATTGAGGCCACATTTCCCTAGTTTGCTTATGAGAATGTCATGTTTGGTTGCCAAAAGCCTTACTAAAATCAAGATACATCACATATACTGCTTCCCCCCATCCATTAAGCTAGTAACTCTGTCAAGGAAAGAAATTAGGTTGGTTTGACACGATTTGTTCTGAACAAACCCATTTTGACTATTCCTTATAACTCTATTATCCTCTCAGCGCTTACAAATTGATGGTTTAATAATTTGTTCTGGTATCTTTCCAGGTACCGAAATTCGGATGACTGATCTATTATTCCCCAGGTCCTCTTTGTTCCCCTTTCTGAAGATAGATACAATGTTTGTCCTTCTCCAGTCCTCTGAGACCTCACCCATCCTCCTGGAGTTCTCAAAGATCATTGCTAACAGTTCCAAGATTGCTTCAAAAAAGGAGGATTTGTGGCACCTTAGAGACTAACAAATTTATTTGAGCATAAGCTTTCGTGAGCTACAGCTCACTTCATCAGATGCATTCAGTGGAAAATACACAGCTGCTACTCCAAAACCTGAAGATTGCTTCAGCTAGTTCCGGAAGTACCCTTGGATGAATTTCCATCAGGCCCTGCTGACTTGAATATATCTAACTTATCTAAATACTCTTCAACCTGTTCTTTCCCTATTTTGGCTTGCATTCCTTCCCCACATAATGAATATTAATTGTGCTGAGTATCTGGTCATCATTAGCCTTTTTTAGTGAAGACTGAAGCAAAATAGGCAGTAAACACCTCAGCTTTCTTGATGTCATCAGTTGTTAGCTCTCCTTTCCCACTAAGTAGAGCATCTACACTTTCCTTTGCCTTTCTCTTACTCATAATGTATTTAAAGAACCTCTTTCTTATTGCCTTTTATCTCCCTTGTTAGGCGTAATTCATTTTTTGCTTTAGCCTTTTCTGACTTTGTCTCAACACATTTGTGCTGTTCTTTTGTACTTCTCCTTAGAAATTCATCCATGTTTCCACTTTTTGTAAGATTCCTTTTTGATTTTCAGGTCACTAAAAAGTTCCTGCTGGAGCCATATTAACCTCTTACTATTATTCCAATCTTTCCTTTCCATCAGGATAGCAAGTGTGCCTTTGATATTGTCTCCTTAAGA